TGTCACTTTAGGTTAACCTGCCAGGTCTAGGGAGATGTCACTTAGGTGAACCTGCCAGGTCTAGGGAGATGTCACTTTAGGTTAACCTGCCAGGTCTAGGGAGATGTCACTTTAGGTGAACCTGCCAGGTCTAGGGAGATGTCACTTTAGGTTAACCTGCCAGGTCTAGGGAGATGTCACTTAGGTTAACCTGCCAGGTCTAGGGAGATGTCACTTAGGTTAACCTGCCAGGTCTAGGGAGATGTCATGTCACTTTAGGTTAACCTGCCAGGTCTAGGGAGATGTCATGTCAGGTTAACCTGCCAGGTCTAGGGAGATGTCATGTCAGGTTAACCTGCCAGGTCTAGGGAGATGTCATGTCACTTTAGGTTAACCTGCCAGGTCTAGGGAGATGTCATGTCACTTTAGGTTAACCTGCCAGGTCTAGGGAGATGTCATGTCAGGTGAACCTGCCAGTTCTAGGGTGATGTCACATCACTGAGTTGTTATAAGCTGGTGCTGTGTTGTAAAGTACAGGTGAACAGGATTTGATTGATGCCAAAACAAAGAATATTAGTTGTTCATATGGTAGTCAGTTTCATGGATAGAAAAACACATGAAAAGTAATTAATAAAGTTAACAATGTCAATAATATTCTATAAGAGGAACAGGAGCTCTAGCAGTAGAACATTTGAGGTACTCCGTTCCGTTGAGCTCCTGCCCAAGTCAAACCACTGTCTTCACGTCAGTGATAGGGCCACCTTTCATTGTTATTTTATGTGCAAGATATAGGACACATTCAAGTCATGTGTTCCTTGTTATTAGTGTCTTACTGATTAACAACGCAGATTAATTAGTAAAGGAATCAAAGGCATTCAATCTGTTGTATTTATTGCTTTCAAAGCTAAAAAATTACATCCCATACAGTGCCTTCAGAAAGTATTCATTCCCCTTTACTTATTCCACATTTTGTTGCGTTACAGCTTGAAGAAAACTTTTTTTTTTCTCTCCCCCATCTACACACAATACTCCATAATGACAAAGTGAAAACATGTTTCCAAATGTATTGAAAATGAAATACAGAAATATCTCATTTACATAAGTATTCACACCCCTGAGTCAAAACTTTGTAGAAGCACCTTTGGCAGCGTTTACAACTGTGAGTCCTTCTGGGTAAGTCTATAAGAGCTTTGCACACCTGGATTGTGCAACATTTGCCCATTAATCTTTTCAAAATTCTTCAAGCTCTGTTAAATTGGTTGTTGATCATTATTATTAGACAACCATTATCAGGTCTTGCCATAGATTTTCAAGCAGATTTAAGTCAAAAGTAACTCAGCCATTCAGAAACATTCACTGTGTTCTTGGTAAGCAACTCCAGTATAGATTTGAACTTGTGTTTTAGGATATTGTCCTGCTGAAAGGTGAATTCACCTCCCAATGTCTGGTGGAAAGCAGACTGAACCAGGTTTTCCTCTAGGATTTTGCCTGTGCTTAGCTCCATTCCGTTTCTTTTTTATCCTGAAAAACTCCCCAGTCCTTAACGATTACAAGCATGAATGCCAAGAGTGTGCAATCAAGCTGTCATCAAGGCAAAGGGTGGCTACTTTGAAAAATCTAAAATATATTTTGATTTGTTTGAACACTTTTTTGGTTACTACATGATTCCATATGTGTTATTTCATAGTTTTGATGTCTTCACTATTATTCTACAATGTAGAAAATAGTAAAAATAAAGAAAAACCCTTGAATGAGTAGGTGTGTTCAAACTTTTGACTGGTACTGTATTTTGGTTCATTTCCTGTGGACTTGAAAAAAGTAATTATTTAATACAGTTGAAATGTTTACAAATTAGATTAGCTGAAATGAAAGCATCTTCCGAAAATGAACACTAATTATAGTGATATTATGCCTGATCTCGCAAACAATGTAAAGTATGTTTAGATACTGTAGGTGTACGATCCCTGTGTTCTGGAGCAGGGGGAGGGTAATGAAACTGCTCTGTCCCCCAAGAGGAAATCAGGAGGGGGGGGCTATGGAGCTGTCTTTGTACATTCGTAAATTAGTTAGTCATACGCGATATCTCAGACACCACCAGCCCGATTTTGACAAAACTTAGATCCGGCATTTACAAAATTACACTGATTGGCCCAAAGGGAGAGCTATAGTTATCAACTGAAATTCCAAACTTTGAACAAGCATGTCTCCTGTCACGTTTGAGCTTGAATTGTTGTCACTAATTGGCTGCATCATTTGTGGGGGACGACATGTTTACTGTTGCCTTGTTTTTAGATGTAGTGCACTGTCACTTATTGAATGAAGTAAGACGGTTCAAAGTGTAGAAATATTTAATTTAATGACATGTTTAGATGATTGGTAGACCTACTGAAATGTCTGTCTGTCTGTGGATGGTCTGTGCAGTTTGTCAACCATATAGATGCTCAACTAACTACCAACAACTTGTTCAACTAACTAGCCACTAACCCAGTTGAGGCTGCTGAGGGGAGGACGGCTCATAATAATGGCCGGAATGGAGTTAATGGAATGGTATCAAGCACATGTTTGTTTTGGTTTTTGTGTGTTTGATACCATTCTTTTAACTCCATTCCAGCCATTATTATGAGCCGTCCTACCCTCAGCAGCCTCCACTGCACCTACTCTGACCTAACTCTAAACCTTAACATTACCCCTTAACCCTTACCCTAACCTTAACCCCAAACCTCACTTAACCAGACCTTACTCATAACCCTATCATATCTTCAAATAAGATGTGACCTTAATGTGTAATGGCACTGCAGGTAAAAGATCAGGCTCTTCCATGATCTGTAGGACACTTATTTCTGTACTGATATAGGCCTAGTTCGTGTAGTTGTAACTCAGTTTACCCGCTTGGTTAATTTTTACACATTCTAGTTGCAGAGATTTGAGATTAACTGTCCTCAAGTGCCCAAAACAAACGTTTTTATGATTTCAAACCAAACCTAGGTCTACAGTAGTTAGCAATATCCAGTCAAAGTCAGAAGGCTCATCCAATGTTGAGAAAAAAATGTATGTACTGTGTGTATATGTATTTTTGTCAGATAAAATGAAAAAAATACAAATTCAATCAATCAATCATATCCTTAAATTCTTTCACAGAAAACTTAATTTGTACCTGTAATTGAACAAACAAAGCAACAAAATATAATTAACATTTATTTACAAGTGACAGAAAATGACTAAGAAAAGGCCCCATTTAATGTTTAGACTGTTTCCACTTCCTACGTCTGTAGCAAAAGGAAAATACGTTTTCATTCATTGTGTTCAGCGTTTGAACAACATAACATGGAAGAATGTTGATTTTAAGCTTTCAGTCATCTCTGGGTGTGACACTCGTTCTGTGGGCGGATGACATGCATGCCACTTTTTAACATGGAAGGATTGAGTGAAAGAGATGTTCCTTTCTGCCGGTGCCACTTACACCCTCCATTATTGCCAGCCTTTATCTGGGGTGACTGAAACTCAGTTGGCATATTTGGCAGAGTTCACTATAGCCTGGTCCCAGATCTGTTCGGGCTGTTATGCAATGACCATACAGATGTAGGATCTTAATTTGATCAATCTTTTGTTGCTGAGAATTTTCCTGCAGATTAGGAAATGCAAACTTGTAGTGTATTCAAGGTTTAAAAAGTATTCTAAAGTTGATAATTTCCACTTTAAAATGGACTTGATTTTCCATAACAGAAAATGTATCAACCCCTACAAAAATGTCCACTAATTATAATCAGCATAATAATTCACATTTCCTGTTGCTGCAGGATTATTTTCCTCCTGTAGCAAACTGGCTCAAATTAAGATCCTACATCTGTAGGAGTTGGAAAGACAGCACAAACAGATCCGGGACCAGGCAAAATTCACTGCTAATCTCCAGACATCTTCACTTACTGCAGGTGTCTCTTGGTGGGAAATGGCCACCCATTCTAAAGTGATGCTTAAGACAATGAATGTCAGTAACAGCTGGTTCCTTGGAGACTGAGGTGGTGCTTGTTTTTGTCACTGTTTTTGTCACCTTGAAGTTGAACCATGATTCCTCACTTCCTTTTTTATGAATGTATTGTCTAGTGCGGGTAAAAGAAGAAGATACAATTTCATTACAATGAATAGCTTACATAATACCAGCTTTAATTTTGTATTTCCTCCCCATGAGTTGCATACACACAGGTACAGTATCAGAACAGGTACAACTATGCATACAGACAAACAATCAAACAAACAAAAACACATTGTTAATATTGACATGTCTTATTTATTATTGATCTGCTCTTATTGACACGAATCTGATGTGGCAGATATTTTGGAAATCATGTGGTGTGCCTTTGACGTTAAAGTAGGACCTAAATCTTGTCCAAAAGGATGTAGCTAGATATTTCATTTAGCCAATGTGTTAAAGTAGGATAATTCTCTGATTTCCCAGAATAATGTTATGCATTTCTTTGCTGCAAGCATAGACAGATCAATATATATTTTTTCTGATACTTATTCCATGGATCTTGTTCACGAGTACCAAGCAGACACAAGCAAGGTGAGAAAGGGATAGAAATCTGTAATCATCACTGTGAAAGCTGCCAGACTCACTGTACTACTGCACTCCTTCCCCGTTGTGATTGTCAGGCTGCCGTAATCAGTCATTAACTACCCGTTCTTACTTCAGAGAACAATAGGCCAAATACTCTGAAAGACCAACTCTCTAACTCATAAACCATTCTCTTTCAAAATATGAAAGCTTTTGGTGAGACTTCTGTTGCCTTTCTCAAAAGTCCAAAAGTTCGAAAGAATGTGAATATTTTTGTGTGTGTGAACATGAACTTAAGCTGCTCGACACCTTTTGTCTTAGGGTGAAACTAGGAGGCGTGTCCAGAGCCTGACAACCTGCAGAGAGAGAGAGAGATAGGAGGAGTGGAACAGGTATACTGAATATTCTGGAGGAGTGGGAGGGAGGAATCGACGGAACAACATAGCAACAACCTTATAAAGGGAAAGATGCTCCCTCTCTCTGGCTTCAGTTCATATAACAAGTGAAGTCAACACCACTGTCCTTTCAGACAACATGCTCAGCCTTATTAAACTGCCCAGAGTCTTCACCATCAACCAAGTGCCCAAGGTAAGTTTACTTTACTTCACTACATTCTATACTGTCAAATCCTACAATACTATTTTCAGAGTTGAGGTTATATGTTATATTTAAGTCCAGTTAATTCCGAAGTTGGACATGTGGACATGGAATTTGAGTGGAACACTATACTGAATCTTGTGCTTCTTGCCACCAAGAATGTCAAGAATGTATCATTGTGACTCCCCTCAAGAATGTATAGTCCTACTTTTATTTGGGAAATACATCAACATCAAAACCTTTTGTGTTTATAGTAAACAGGTGACTCTCCATATGTATCTATATATAGCCTACTACTGTGTGGGGAGTGAGTGTTGGCCAACAGTGCAGTAACCCTGGGTTTTGTTTTGTTTAGGTGTTCCATGAGGACAGCATCATCTCAGGCTACCGACACCCTCGCAGCTCAGCCATTGACTGCATCCTCAGCCTCTTCCAGCTGACCAATGAGACGCTCAACATCTGGACACACTTCCTGCCCACATGGTATAGCCGAGCAACACCTGTACACTTCTTGTGAACGCCACATGGGGGCAAATTTTTTGCTCACACTTTATTTGGATTGTCCCACACAGATGATCTACAGATGGTCACACTATCAACAAGCTATCTGTTGATAAGCAACTGCTTGCTAAATGTGGGTTAGGTTTAGAATCAGGGTTAGGTCTAGGGTTAGTGGATAGTTAGTTGACATGTTGTTGACGGTAATTGAACATCTACTGAACATCTACAAAGCATCTACTTGGGACTATCCAAATAAAGTGTTACCCAGCACTAGCACACCTATTTCAGGGTTGAATGGTTAGTTCATTAGTGGAATCCGATGTATTAGTGCTGGGCAAGTACATAAATGTGCACTCCTGTCGCAACAGTGGCATGTGTCCTTAAGACAGAGTTGTAGTAAATTCAAAACATTCTAAACATCCTTCATAGATTAAAATAAATTGAGCTCTTTTCCTCAATTGAAATGGAATTAGATGATTAATTAAGTAGGTTAACTGGAACCTCAGGGGACAGTCTCGTGTCAATGATACTCGAGGCTTGACTTTTATTATTTTATTTAACCTTTATTTAACTAGGGAAGTCATTTAAGAACAAATACTTATTTACAATGACAGCCTACCAAAAGGCGAAAAGGCCTCCTGCGGGGACAGGGGCTGGGATAAAAAATTAAAATATAGGACAAAACACACATCACGACAAGAGAGACACCACAACACTACATAAAGAGAGACCTAAGACAACAACACAGCACGGCAGCAACACATGACAACACAGCATGGTAGCAACACAACATGACAACACAGCATGGTAGCAACACAACATGACAACAACACGGCAGCAACACAACATGACAACAACACGGCAGCAACACATGACAACAACATGGTAGCAACACAACATGACAACAACATGGTAGCAACACAACATGACAACAACATGGTAGCAACACAACATGACAACAACATGGTAGCAACACAACATGACAACAACATGGTAGCAACACAACATGACAACAACACGCCAGCAACACAAGACAACACCGCATAGTAGCAACACAACATGACAACAACATGGTAGCAACACAACATGACAACAACACGGCAGCAACACAACATGACAACAACATGGTAGCAACACAACATAACAACATGGTAGCAACACAACATGGCAGCAACACAACATGGTAGCAGCACAAAACATGGTACAAACATTATTGGGCACAGACAACAGCACAAAGGGCAAGAAGGTAGAGACAACAATGCATCACGCGAAGCAGCCACAATTGTCAGTTAGTGTCCATGATTGAGTCTTTGAATGAAGAGATGGAGATAAAACTGAGACGGGAGTAAACAGTTGAACATTTCTTTCATGTTTAGTGTTATCTTTACAATTTGGATACATACAAACAATGAACATAGCGTTTCCTTTAATGACACCAAAAAGAAACAACTGCATATGGAAACATGCTCTCTCACTCTCAGATCTCTGGAACAATGTTGCTTGGGATTTGGACTAAACCAGAAAACATGATTAACAGGTTTGATTGAACAGCAGCTGAAGCACCTGAAGCACATTCCACAGGCTTGAGGCCTTCCACAGGAAGGAGTATTTGATTCGCAGTGTAGCATGGTGTAGTCATTAAGACACTTGCCTCTGTACTGCAAGGATCAAGGACTCCTCTCTCTCTTTTCTCTCTCTGCTTCTCTATCAGAATCGAGACTAGAGGGAAAAGAGAAGAATGGAGGAGAAAGATAGAGTAGAGGAGAGGGGAAAACAAAGAGATGAAGAAGAGAGGAGAAAAAAGGAGGACGAAGACGAGGGCACAGAGCTCATCCTCTATTTGAAACCAAATCTTCTCTAAACCGATAGTTTCTCCCCGCTCCTCGGGGGTGGGGGAGTTGAGGGAAACCCCTATCCCTATAAGGGGCGGGGGGGTGGGTCCACGTAGAGGGGAGACCAAAGAGAGCGTAATCCATTACTCATCTATATTCTCTCTCTCTCTCTCTCTCCTCTCTCTCTCTCTTCATATCTCTCGCCTCTCTCTCTCTCTATCTCGTTTCTCTCTCTCTTCATTCTCTCTCTCTCTCCCCATCTCTCTCCTCCCCCCTCTCCTCTTCGAGTGGCAAAGAGGAGGAATTTTAGTGTACAGTAAGATTCTAGTGCTTGGTGCTATAGGGACCATACCTACTCCGCCTAGGAGAGAGAAAGGAAGAGGGAGGGGGGAGGGAGAGAGAGGAGAGAGAGGAGAGGGAGAGAGAGAGCTAATGAGCTAGCACAGCTCTCAAATGAGTTGCCACAATTAGCGAACAGCTCAGTGCAGCGATGGGGAAAACTACAAATAAGGTTTATTTGTTAATGAGGTGTGCAGAGACATGGAAACACAGCCCGCTGCCTCTGTAACTACTGTGTACAGGCCGGGGCAAACCTTGTGGTAAGATAGCCTGAACCTTTAGATACAGTAACTCACTGTGGGTGACTGAACCCCAAAATAAAACTTTGCCACATTTTAAGAAGCTATCACTTGTATGTTTAGGCGAACAATTCCAAATAATTATTTCATTTTGAACACCCATCATTAACTTGCATTCTGATTGATTGATGAAAAAAGTACCAAACGATTGCTCCCCCGATAAATGATTGGTAAATGATTGCTCCCCTGATAAACAATTGGTAAATGATTGCTCTCCCAATAAACTATTGGTAAATTATTGCTCCCCCGATAAACGATTGGTCCTGAAAGGTATGCGTCCTCCAGTGCCAAGCTAACCCCCTGTGTCCTCTGTGTCCTGACAGGTACTTCTTATGGAAGCTGCTGATGGTGGTCCTGATGCGGGACGTGTGGCGCGACTCCTTCACCTGGCCCCTCCTGGTGTTCCTGATGTCGTGCTGTGTGTACCCGCTGGCCTCCAGCTGTGCCCACACCTTTAGCACAATGTCCACGCGCGCACGACACATCTGCTTCTTCTTCGACTACGGAGCTCTGAGTCTCTACAGCCTGGGTGAGTAGAAATGCCATAGAAATAGATTTATACTCAAAAGGACATTGTTGCCCTAGCGACATGACTACTGTAATATGCAGCTGTATCTCTATAGGGAAAGGCATTGTACGGATTCTATCTAGTCAATGTATAAGGGGTTGGATTTGTATAGTGTTTTGAACCTGCAGGTCTTATAACAGAGAGTCGTTGTATGATACCCCGAAGCACAGGAGGTTGGTGGCACCATAATTGGGGAGGACTGGCTTGTGGTATTAGCTGGAGCGGAATCGGTGGAATGGTATCAAATAGATCAAACATGGTTTCCATGGTTTCCATGTGTTCGCCATTCCATTCGCTCCGTTCCAGCCATTATTATGAGCCGTCCTCCCCTCAGCAGCCTCCACTGAGGAAGGGAATGTAGTCCCGTTCAAATGGATGTTCTGTGGTGGGTACACTGGCCAGTTATACTCTCCATGTACTATTTGGAGTGTTGGAATGATCCCATTAGACATCTATTCCTCTTTGATATGATCTAATTCTATGGTTTCCCCCAATCCCAAATCAACACCTAGTAAAAAATGTTATGCCTCCTTACAGATCTGATGGAAGTATGTAGGTATAAGATAAATGGCAACAACTGCCTTGCCTACCACAGGGCTAGGTGGCACCATTACCATATTGTGCCCACCCATTCAATCCTTTTGGATTTTGGTGGGGCTTTCAAAAGGTGTCTAGGGGTGGGGGTGGCTGTGGGGGTTGATATGGAATTGGGTGAAAGAATGCATGCATAATGGTTTGTATTTATATAGCTCTGAGCCCAGTTTTAAAAATCCCTTTGTGTGTAGCAGGTCTTGAACAGGACATAATGTACAGTCAGGGTAACTATACCCTCAACCAACTAATGTGTAGCACCAACCTGCCATACAAAGGGCATTTTTAGTTATGGAAATGCATGCAGGAATGGGCTTACGCACATGTACCATGCATACTGAGACCTGGACCAACCTTAGATTGGAACCTACACTTCTGCCAGCATCTGCACGCTGAAGGGTGACAGTGTATGTGTGTTTTTACATACATGCATGCCTTTCCCACATGAGTTTCCACATGTAGGATCTTAATTTGAGCCAGTTTGCTACAGCAGGAAAATAATCCAGCCGGAACAGGAAATGTGAATTATTATGTGGATTATAATCACATTTACATTTTTTGTAGGGGTTGATAAATTTTTCGGAAGGGGAAATCTAGTCGGAAATTTCAAAGTGGAAATTACAAACTTCAGAAGCCTCAAATGCACTACAAGTTTTACATTTCCTGCATTGCAGGAAAGATCTCCTGCAACAGGGTGATCAAATTAAGATCCTCCATCTGTATGTGTGTATATTATACACATCAATATAGTCTATGGTATATACACACAGTTTGCAGTACTTGTGCATGCACACATATGTTTCTGTATTTGTGTCTATTCCTGCATGTATGATTATGCATATTTCTCTCCCGTCCAGGCTCTGCCATTACATATTCTGCCTACGTGATTCCTGATAAGTGGGTGAACAGTTCGTTCCACCAGTACTACATCCCCATCGCTATGGTAAACACTGTCATCTGTACCGCCTTGGCCTGCTACTCCAGGTAAGAGAGCTTTCTACTGGAGGGCTGTTTGCAGGATAGTGTTTTTCATCATTCTGGAGGTAGCTCTGCAGAGTGGTCACTAGCTGGCACAGCCACAAAGTCATACAATCTGATTTTAAACCTAATCTTAACCCAAACCTTAACCACACTGCCAAATCTAACCTTAAATTAAAACCAAAAAAGCAAATGTTTGTTTTCATTAATTTAGACAATTTGACTTTGCAGCTGGCCTATCTAAGGGGAAATCGCTCAGTTCTGCCTCCAGGACAAGACTCATGACGATAAATGTCAACCTGCCTGTTGGTTAGCAACCACTCAATCTCACGCATCTTATAGTGCTAATGAGGATATCGTATAATTAGCTTTGGGTTTTAGAGCATGTGATTGTACAACTTGACCCCTAGCTTTGGATGTAGTGTCTTGATAAGATGACAAACTGACAATATTCCTCCAACCAGAAACAATTACATTTAGTCTAAATCCTACTGTGTGCACACATATTTGACGTTAAACATTTTAATGTACATGTATTGTAGATTTGATACACACACTGCTGTTATTAATTAATTTTGGGGAATGAAACTACTCCTTTGTGCTCCTTTCTGTCAAAATACCATGCATGATGGGAGACAAATTGGACCGGTCTTTTACCTCAGCTTAGCTTCACTGTGGAGCACCTATTGTGACGTCTCTTGTCATCGTACAGCAAGCCTACTGTACACATTGTTGTTAAAACGCAGCCCGACTGGTTTGCCTACTTTTCATCATAGTTATTACTCAGTATTATCAGCTTAATGGCAGTCTCACAATGCTTCTCCCTCTTCTCTCCTCTTTTCTGCTAAGGCTTGGCTTACCATATATTCAATATAACCATGACATCATAAAAAGGTAAACATCATGTCATCTCCGTTAGTCATGCGTTTTCTTTTGCTTTCTGTCAACTGCTGTGCTACTGCTAACCTAACTCACTGTGCTACTGCTAACCTAACTCACTGTGCTACTGCTAACCTAACTCACTGTGCTACTGCTAACCTAACTCACTGTGCTACTGCTAACCTAACTCACTGTGCTACTGCTAACCTAACTCACTGTGCTACTGCTAACCTAACTCACTGTGCTACTGCTAACCTAACTCACTGTACTACTGCTAACCTAACTCACTGTGCTACTGCTAACCTAACCTAACTCACTGTGCTACTGCTAACCTAACTCACTGTGCTACTGCTAACCTAACTCACTGTGCTACTGCTAACCTAACTCACTGTGCTACTGCTAACCTAACTCACTGTGCTACTGCTAACCTAACTCCCTGTGCTACTGCTAACCTAACTCACTGTGCTACTGCTAACCTAACTCACTGTTCTACTGCTAACCTAACTCACTGTGCTACTGCTAACCTAACTCACTGTTCTACTGCTAACCTAACTCACTGTGCTACTGCTAACCTAACTCACTGTGCTACTGCTAACCTAACTCACTGTGCTACTGCTAACCTAACTCCCTGTGCTACTGCTAACCTAACTCACTGTGCTACTGCTAACCTAACTCACTGTGCTACTGCTAACCTAACTCCCTGTGCTACTGCTAACCTAACTCACTGTGCTACTGCTAACCTAACTCACTGTCTACCACAGGAGGTTGGTGGCACCTTAATTGGGGAGGATGGGCTCATGGTAGTGTCTGGAGCGGAATCAGTGGAATGGTATCAAATACATCAAACACATGGTTTCCAGTGTTTGATGCCATTCCATTAACTCCGTTCCAGCCTTTATTATGAGCCATTCTCCCCACAGCAGCCTCCACTGCAGTCTACCACCACTACCACTACTACCACTCCCATCCTTTGTGATTTCCTGTCTCAGAGTTTTGGTAAACTGCTTGTAGTTTTCCTTATTCATTAGTTTGTCTCTCCTCGATCCTCCTCACTCCTGTGTCAGACATCCCAAGTGCATGTCTTTGTATGTGAAATGTTAGGACTCTTAGGATAACTAACCATGTCATCTATATGTAGGCCTCATCATTCCATAGATAGACTATCAAGTGTGGTTTTAGTTGGACAAGGTAGTAAGGAGAGGGAAGACATGTACAGTAGTTAGCAACAGATCGTGTGTTCTTTATGTGAAGAGGGAGTTGGCTTCATTTACACTGGAATGTGTTTAAAAGCTACTAAAACAGAATCTGTTTTGCTAATCTGATCTGACAATGACTCAGCAGTTGTGATTGTGTGATGATTGTGTGAAAGGTAAGGAGAGAAAGTGAGTGAATTTAATTGAAGCCGTGCATGTGGTTACAGTGCATTCGGAAAGTATTCAGACCCCTTGACTTTTCCCAAATTTTTTACATTACAGCCTTATTCTAAACTTTATAAAATATATTTTTTTGCTATGAGACTCGAAATTCAGCTCAGGTGTATCCTGTTTCCATTGATCATCCTTGACATGTTTCTACAACTTGATTGAAGTCCACCTGTGATAAATTCAATTGATTGGACATGATTTGGAAAGGCACACACCTGTCTATATAAGGTCCCACAGTTGACAGTGCATGTCAGAGCAAAAACCAAGCCATGAGGTCGAAGGAATTGTCCGTAGAGCTCCGAGACAGGATTGTGTCGAGGCACAGATCTGGGGAAGGGTACCAAAACATTTCTGCAGCATTGAAAGTCTCCAAGAACACAGTGGCCTCCATCATTCTTAATTGGAAGAAGTTTGGAACCACCAAGAATCTTCCTAGAGCTGGCCTCCCGGCCAAACTGAGCAATCGGGGGAGAAGGGCCTTGGTCAGGGAGGTGACCAAGAACCCGATGGTCACTGACAGATCTCCAGAGTTCCTCTGTGGAGATGGGAGAACCTTCCAGAAGGACAACCAATTCTGCAGCACTCCACCAATCAGGCCTTTATGGTAGAGTGACCAGACGGAAGCCACTCCTCAGTAAAAGGCACATGACAGTCTGCTTGGAGTTTGCCAAAAGGCACCTAAAGGACTCTCAGACCATCAAAAACAAGATTCTCTGGTCTGATGAAACTGAGATTGAACTCTTTGGCCTGACTGCCAAGTGTCACATCTGGAGGAAACCTGGCACCATCCCTACGGTGAAGCATGGTGGTGGCAGCATCATGCTGTGGGGATGTTTTTCAGCGGCAGGGACTGGGAGACTAGTCAGGATCGAGGGAAAGATGAACAGAGCAAAGTACAGATAGATCCTTGATGAAAACCTGCTCCAGAGTGCTCAGAACCTCAGACTGGGGCGAAGCTTCCAACAGGACAACGACCCTAAGCACACAGCCAAGACAACGCAGGAGTGGCTTTGGGACAAGTCTCTGAATGACCTTGAGTGGCCCAGCCAGAGTCTGGACTTGAACCAAGTCGAACATCTCTGGAGAGACCTGAAAATAGCTGTGCAGCGACACACCCCATCCAACCTGACAGAGCTTGAGGGGATCTGCAGAGAGGAATGGGAGAAACTCCCCAAATACAGGTGTGCCAAGCTTGTAGCGTCATACCCAAGAAGACTCAAGGCTGTAATCATTGCCAAAGGCGCTTCAACAAAGTACTGAGTAAAAGGTCTGAATACTTATGTAAATGTGATATTTCTAAAAACCTGTTTTTGCTTTGTCATTATGGGGTATTGTGTGTAGATTGATAAGGGGGAAAAAAACAATTTAATCAATATTAGAATAAGGCTATAACGTAACAAAATGTGGAAAAAGTCCAGGGGTCTCAATACTTTCCAAATGCACCGTATGTGATTTGTGATGGGAATATAAAACAATGAAAGTGTCCTGTGTAATATTTAAACAAGATGAGTTCATGCTAGATACAACAATGTACTGAAAAAGTGTCTACTTGGGAGCTAGTTCATAAAGGCTACAGTTTATTCCCAAGTTCAATAAGGGGACACAGGTTTCTAATTTAATGTTAATAACTATGCAACAGTAATGCAATAATTTGTCCCATACTTGTCCCCTAGATCCTCTTAAGATCTTCTTCTATTAATCTATCCTTAATGCACAGAGATAGGGAACAAAGAGATTGCATACGTTGATAATTAAAATCTGTAATTATTTGCAGTGTATAATGAATATGCATGGATTTGGGTCATTGTAATGGCTGATAAAGCGACCATCACTCTTTTTCAGATACCAAGAGTGTCAGAGCCCAAAGTTAGGCAAATTTCTCCGCATTCTTGCTTTCGCATTACCCTATCTGTTCGACAACATTCCTCTCTTCTACAGGGTGAGTCATTACATTTCTACCCCTCTGTGTGACAGACCAAACTTCTTCTGTGCCTGAGGGAAAAGTTTAAAAAGTATATAACAGTGTTTGTCATATTGAAGTGTTACTGTGTCAATGTTTGATTCATGTGATGTTTTTATAGTTTTTAGTCAGATCATGGGACTAGGGATGAAAATGAGTAGTAGCTGGTGTTGGAGATGTTGATTATGGTACCTGAGGTACGACTATATATTTTGAGCCCTAGCAGGCTCTGTACACTTTGTTGTCTGAGATGTTGATTATGGTACCTGAGGTACGACTATATATTTTGAGACCTAGCAGGCTCTGTACACTTTGTTGTCTGGCTAATGGTATAATTATGGTCAGGTCAGTGGAGTGCAGGTGTACATTGAAGTATTTAATTGAACTCTGGTTATGAACAGTTCTGAAATTCTGTATGTACAGCTATTGGATCTTAATTTGACCAGTTTCTCACAGCAGTAAAATAATCCTGCAGCAACAGAACATTTGAATTATTGTGTGGATTATAATTAATGGATATTTTTGTATGGGTTGATACATTTTTAGTTAGGGCAAATCAAGTCTGAACTTTTTATCTGTAAATTACAAACGTTAAAAGTATTTGTAAACCTCAAATACACTACAAGTTGGCGTTTCCTGCTGTATAGGAAATGTCATGCAACAACCGGGAGATCAAATTAAGATCCTCCACCTGTACCATGCTATTTTGGTTCAAAAGCCATGTGTAGTATGACTGTGACGAGCCTATAGAAGCCTGTCATGTGACGCGAGGCTAATACATTCTTCTGTGTTTTGACAGATCTTCCTGTGTGTGGGTGAGGGCTGCACTGACAACGACACCAACGCCCTCCACCACACCCACATCGCCCTGGCCTTCCTGACCGCATTCCTCTTCGCCACACACCTACCAGAGCGCCTGGCCCCCGGCAGCTTCGACTACATAGGTCAAACTGCATTGTCTATCTGGAAAAGCTGCTTGTTTGATTCGTTCAGAATGATTTGTCACTGTACTGTACAAGAGTTGTTGTAATACAGTAGATACTGATCAACACTGGCTTGACATTAGTGGTATGACATATGTAGTATTAAAACAACATAATAGACTTAATATCACTGCCTCTGGGACTCGCCGTGCCTTCCTGTTTCCCCCTTATGCTGTGGAGGCAAGTTCTTCTGTCTCTGGCCAGTTACAGTTCTCCTCCTTGAGTTATGTTTGGTTCCACTCCTGTTCTGCTACTACTTGTCGGTATTTAACCACAGTCCTTTTGCACCCTCTGCAGGTCACAGCCACCAACTGTTCCACGTGTGCGGCATAATGGGCACTCATTTCCAGATGGAGGCCATCGAGCAGGACATGGTGACGCGACGCCCGTGGCTCCTCACACACTCTCCACCCATCACCTTCGCTAACACACTGGGGGCGGCACTGCTGAGTGTAGGCCTCAGCCTTGGCATCATCTTCCTCTTTAGTCTGCCTCTGCTCTGGTCAGCCACCCGGGGAGAACACATGGAGAAGAACACACAGTCACGTCCAATGGCCAAGGGATGCCAGTGGCACTAGCACTAGCCACATGCTAATGACAATGTATATGGATCTAAAAACTGGATGGCTCAGTTGGTGGAGCAATGGTGCCTGTAATGCCAGGATTGTGGGTTCGATTCCCGGGGCCACCCACACATAAAATGTATACACGCATGAATGTAAGTCGCTTTGGATAAGAGCGTCTGCTAAATGGCATATTTTTATATTATTATTATTAAACTGGACACTGTGGTGAGGGTGGGCTTGGACGGAGAGGTGAACAAGTGAAGTGAACCACTATGGCTTCTTGGTGGTGGATAGAGGTGAAGTCATGACAAGATACAATGCTGAAGGGGCAATGAAATGTTCTTCACATATTTCAGCACAGATGAATAAACTGGTAGCTGAACAGGAGCTCCAGATATACTGCAGTGAGGGACAGAGAGAGTTAGTGGTACCTCTGGTAGTATTACATTGACTATATGACTAGTACACAGTACTAAACACGTAGGCCTTGCTTTTGTTTCTCTGATTTCCCAACGCTACTGAGGAGCAGGAAGAGACTGGAGCAGTGGGAAGTCACAAACTGTATATGAAGAAACAATCCCCTGAATGTTACATGAAGAGGAATTCTCAATATGGCTTCAATTTCGTTTTGCTTTCTTTTTAAACACATTATTTTTATACTAAATATATTGATCACTTGATCATTTTTATACACAAACAATGGATATGTATCACAAACATATATCAGCAATATTAGTGTCACAGTCTGTAGCCTAAGGGCTGTTAAGTAGAGGGCTTTGGTAGCCTACTGTAAACTAAAATCAGCACTGAAGGATAACTTCTTAATGAAGTGTATCTATGATTAATGTGTTTGATGGTCAGCAACTAAAATGAAGGTGTCTTTTAAAGAAAAAGATTATAAATGTCAGATTGCTTTCCTGTACAGTGTTAAGTACAGTATTATTTAAAGCATCACCAAGACATTATAGTTCTCCGTTAGACATTAGACATTTTATTTGGCTCCTGTAAATCTTGTCTTATTTTAGTTAATATATTTTGCAATGTTGTGAAAGTATTTACGAACTATGTTATTTATTGTGAATTCCCATAAACATGATAAAAAGGTGTCTGTGTATTGCCTTGAAATAAACTAGGCAGCAAAAACATCCTGTGAATGCAACACATGAACTAGGCCTACAGCAAAATCCAAACATGGTTTTCTCATTGTAGTACATTTGAAGAAGAGCCTTTAACTCACTTTTTTTCCTATTTCATTACCCACATGTAGGCTAGAGGATCACTTTGGATTTTATCATAAGCACAATATTCTTGAAATAGACAATATTGTACACAATATTTTTTTATTGAATGATTATTGAAGATATGGATCGTTTTATTCCCAACAAATTATAACGCAAAAGTGTGCAACACTCAGCTGATCCTAAATCTTCGGTTAGGGCAGATAAAAAGGTTTATTATTATTATTATTATTTATTTGGGGCAACAAAAATGTGGGGGCGGGGCTTCCTTTATAGCTAATCAAGCTGTCTGCGATTTTACTGGCGCAAAACATCCAACACCTACGTGACGTCACACGAGAGGGAATTTTCAAATACTGAAGGAGCGCACCGAACTGAAGGGGAAAGATAAACAAAGGCGACGTTCAAAATGCAAAGACCCGCGTAAGTACAATACTGTAATATTATGTGAAGTGTTCATTAGTTAACCAACAATTGTGGTTGTGTTTGTAAGCAGTTAAATAACGACAGCTAACAAGGTAGCGAGCAGTTAGCATTTTAACTAGCTAACTAAACTAGCTAGCCCGGCTGATATTAACCCTGATTGATATCAGGCTAACAGTGGCTTGCTAGCTATCTCTACTGGTATCATGTTGAATGTAATGTTTGCCAGTTTAGCAAGCTACTCCAACACAATAAATAGACGTTAGCCAACGCAACAAATTGAGACACGCCAGTTTGCGTTGTTCACTTCACCATGTAACTTCTGAAGGGTGGGCTGACTTTGTAGCCAGCAGATTTGACCCGCTTGCTTACAACTGCACTAGTGTCTGACAGGCTTCCTGTGTAGCTTAAGACACAACAAGGAACCAGTGCAAGATATCTCAGAAAAGGTACCTCAATCCAGGAATGAGAAATGCCTTGTACTCCGAATTGTTCCATTATCCCAACAGTTACTGACTGGCTGACACTGCCAGTCCAAAATGGCTGCTGTGGCTTCTGCTACCTAGCATGATGATGAAAATGATAGTTTTCTGAGAAATATCTGGCGCTGGTTCCATGGTGTCTTAATCTACACAAATACAGTAGCCAGCAGAACTGACCCGCTTGCTTAAAGCTGCACTAGGGTCGGATCTGCTGGCTACTGTATTTGTAGCTAGCTATGTGTTAGCTATGCTAGCTGTGTGTTAGCTATGCTAGCCATGTCTTGCTGCTTTGTTTTCCAGCCACTTTCTTGAAGTCCAACACTGTGTAAATGTAGCTACTCAACCTGTAAATGCCCCTCATTAATTTCACAGAAAGGGCAAAACTCCAAGGAGGCCAGCCCTGAAGAAAACTTCCCACACACAAAAAGACCCAGTTGGTGTAAGTTGGTTGTCACTGTCAGCTGTCACCTCAATCAATAGTTACTAAAATCAAGTTGATAATGAATAAATAAGGTATATGTAGCTAATGAATAACACATCTTCTGGTGATTTGCCGTGTGCAGGTGTACTGCCGTATCCGCCCTTTAGGAGCTGCAGATGAGGAGTGTTGTATTGACATGATCAGCAGCACCACCATTCAGCTGCATGCACCCGATGGCATCAAAGCCAACCGCAATGGGGAATACAAAGAGGTACAGGTTGAACACAGCTAGCTACATTACATTTCTCTCTATGATGCATCTTCCTCTGTAGTCTCATACTGAACGTGTTTCTTTCACAGACCCAGTACTCCTTCAAAAAAGTGTTTGGAATCCAAACCTCCCAAATAGAGTTGTTTGAGGATGTTGCCAAACCACTTGTGGATGACCTCATTCACTGCAAGAACGGTAAGTGAGCAAAATTGCCCATTTTATTTTAAACACATCTGATTTTAAGTATTCCGTTTCGACGTGGCGTTGAGCGGCGATTTGTTTTCTTTGCTGTCCATAGGATTGCTCTTCACTTATGGCGTCACAGGCAGTGGAAAGACGTTTACCATGACGGGGTCTCCTGGAGAAGGTGGACTCCTGCCTCGCTCTCTGGACATGCTCTTCAACAGCATCGGTCCATTACAGGCCAAGAGATTTGTAAGACTTCTTTTACATCATATCTCTGGTTGTACAACTCTTGTCCTCCAGAGCCTCATTGTATGCTTTTGCCCTTGTCTTTTCATCAGAGATGGATTTATACATTGAACCGGATGTGTTGATACACTAGCCAATCAATTAAGTGCTTGTGAGAGACTTAACTTTGAGTTGGCCATTTTTATTCAACAGCTAATATGTGCAAAAAGCCAATATTATTTTACTATTTGAATTTCAGGTTCTCCAAATGTTAAATTGAGCGCTAAACCCGAGACGTCTAGCTTTCAAATGTTCAATCTTGCAGGTGTTTAGGGCAGACGACAAGAACGGCATGGAGATCCAAGGTCAGGTGGACGCTCTCCTGGAGAGACAGAAGAGAGAATCGAATCAACAGTCCGCAGTGCCCAAAACACCCTCTTCAAAGTATGCATGGGCTTCTATAAGCCAAACGGGTTTCATGCACACCTTTGTGATCACCCTCAGCTGTCAATAATCTAGCATCTATTTACATCTTTCATTCATAGATTTTAGTGTATCAGAGACTATTTGAATGACAAAAAGACAACCGGTTAAAATGATATTGGAGATGGCTGAAAATGACCTTTTCACTTTCTTGATTGTTGAAGCTGCTTTGAGACTGAGGTTTTGTGTTGGTTCTGTCCTTCAGGCAAAAACCTGACCCAGAGTTCGCAGACATGATCAGTCCAGAGGAGGCTTGCAAGTGTGAGGGAGTCGACGAGGACAGCTGCTACAGTGTGTTTGTATCCTACATAGAAATATACAATAACTACATCTACGATCTGCTGGAAGAAGCTCCATTCGACCCCATACGACCCAAGTAAGTCCAGGCTTTGTTGTGTTACAGGTAGTTATGTATTGTTGTGTAATTTGAATTTAAAAGGATATGTAAAGGGAGACCCAGTAAATCATTCTGGAAGAGTGGTTCAACCGCACTCCTTTGCTGTCATTTGTGTCTTCTAAAGTTAATGTTAGTTTTGAAGTATGCACCAGTCAATGTAACATGTATTGTAGGTTAGAGATGTCAAATGTTTTGTGTTTTTGTTAGGCGTCCCGGTGGAGGCACACCTCTACGGAACCCTGAGTTGATGTACGTGGTTGGTGTAGAACTAGCCTGGCACCACACTCATCACTAGCTTTCTTTCACCTTTTTGAAGCAGTTTTAATCTATTTGGTCCCAGGCTAAGTGTATACAGTTTAAAAGTAGAAAACATGGCTGAATTATCTAGCCATCATCCTTCCCCTACATCCCCTCCCAATCTAAAACCCTGCATATAATACGTATGGTACCGTCATCCCATCCCAATATAAAACCCTGCATATAATACGTATGGCACCGTCATCCCATCCCAATATAAAACCCTGCATATAATATGTATGGTACCGTCATCCCCTCCCAATCTAAAACCCTGCATATAATACATATAGTATGTAGTGTTATTGTACAGTGTATATAGTAGTGTGTGTGTATATACAATATAAACATGTAGTATTACAATTGGAGTACCTGTTTGCTTTTAACCCTCTGCCTCTGGTTGCCTTTGTAGAGGTAGTGCTTTACGCTCTGCCGATTATCATGAGATTGGTGTAAACGCGTCCTTGAATGGCTGAGGTGAAGCTGATCTGTGCTGCGGCTGGGAAGCTTGACATAATGCATGTCTTTTACCTGTTGTTTTAACATAGTCATGTTGACTCGTTTCGCTTGTGGTTATAGTCTAGTTTATTTGTTGTAGGCTGTGTGGTTAACCTTATTGTTGCTCTCCACTGTTGCAGACCGCCTCAATCAAAGATTTTACGCGAGGACCAGAACCACAACATGTATGTGTCAGGATGCACAGAGGTCGAGGTGAAGTCCACAGAGGAAGCCTTCGAAGTGTTTTGGCGAGGTGAGTGGGATTTGAGTAATTCCTTTTTTTTTTGAAGGAAACATCTTTGATTGTATTCGTCTAAATTGTTTGCTTTCGTCCAGGTCAAAAGAAAAGGAGGATTGCCAATACTCAGCTAAACCGCGAGTCCAGTCGCTCACACAGTGTGTTCATCGTCAAACTGGCACAGGCTCCGCTGGACGCAGATGGAGACCACATTCTACAGGTGACTTTGAACCTCGCATCTTTTATATCTTGCAGATACAGGTCTTCCATATAGAAGAGAAGACAAAATCCACTACCTTGACCCAGGGACGGAACAAGGATTTTTTTTTTGGCCACTGGCCAGCCAGGCTAGTAGAACACAATGTTTTACTAGCCTGGGTCCAATATCTGTGCCGTGCGATATTTGAAAAGACAACATTTCACTAGCCAGGAGGCTAGTTGGGGAAATGTTCCACTAGCCAGGGCTTCTTTGGCTGCTTACCCTCCATCCCTGCCTTCACCTAACCTTAAGATAGCTCACATAGTAATTAAAGGATGTTTGTTATCACAAGAAATGTCTGTTGCTCCGTAACTAGTGGAAGCTGTGTTAGCTCACGTATGTTTCGCTAGAAGCCCCAATACAGAGCGTGTACTCACTGCAATACAGAGCAGGCGTGCTAACGGCTATCACTGGACCACGTGGACTTCAACCAGTGCTAGCTCTGATAGCCTAGCCTGTCTGTGTTACAGGACAAGAACCAGGTGACTGTTAGCCAGCTGTGTCTGGTGGACCTGGCAGGGAGCGAGCGCACCAGCAGGACTAAAGCAGAGGGCAGCCGCCTCCGGGAAGCAGGTAAGCTGACAACATGGGACCCATAGAAATATCATTTTAAACTTTTCTATTTTTATAACAGCACCACTGACCTAGCTTGGATACCAGTCTGTTTAGCTAACATTCCACTCCTTGTACTCTTGTGTCATATGCCACATGTTTAGTATGACAGGAGTGGAATGATGACTGGTACCCACACTAGTACTGACCTACTGGCAGCTTCACAACATGCACCCATCTTTACCTGGCATCTCAACTCTTCCCCAGGCAACATCAACCAGTCCCTGATGACGTTACGCACCTGTATAGAAGTCCTCAGAGAGAACCAGATGTGTGGAACAAACAGGGTTGGTCTTTTTTTTTTTTTTGAATGAATCTTTTTGTGTACTTGATGAACTGTAGACAAGATGAGTCAAGTGCTGATATTGCTGGCGTGATGTCATAAAGGAACACAGTAATACTGAGACTCTGTGTTTGTTCCAGATGGTTCCTTACAGAGACTCCAAAGTCACTCATCTGTTCAAGAACTATTTTGACGGGGAAGGGAAAGTCCGCATGGTTGTGTGTGTCAACCCGAAAGCCGACGACTACGAAGAAACCATGGTACGGTGATTCGACACAACTCACTTCTGAATCATTTAACCAATGTTGATGTAGTGTAGTTGTTTTTGCTATAGTCATTAGATCCCCGAAACAGCCCTAAGAAACGTAAATATCAACAAGACATAACTGTGTATGTGTGTGTGTCTTGGTGGGTGTGTGTTCCTTCAGTTGGTCATGCGCTTTGCAGAGTTGACCCAGGAGGTTGAGGTGGCGCGGCCGGTGGACAGGCCCATCTGCAGCCTGGCGGCAGGGCGGAGACACCGGAACCAGGCCTTCAGAGACGAGATGTCACGACGCCAGGAGGAGCGTCCCGGGGGACCCAGCAACACAGGTACACACACATAATCACAGAGGTATATTTGCATATATGCAACTATGGGTAGAAATGTGGATGCAGTACGTTACAACAGGGCTACAAAGCAGGAGGGTTCTCACATCTCATTTTAAAGCATCTGATTGTACATGGGTCATGTTAGAAATCATGCATTTTTTGCAAATTTCCAACCTGAACACACGTACAATGTGACCAACACCTCAGCCATCAATAACGTAAAGCCAAGCTGATCTGTTCTCCTCTGATTTCCCAGAGGATGGCTCGGTGCTGAACCAGCTCCTGGACAGCCTGCCGGCCCTGCCTGCCTGTGAGTTGGTGGACCCCACCGACGAGCAGAGCCTTCCCCGCCTCATAGAGGTGCTGGAGAAGAGGCACCGCATTCGCCAGATGATCACTGAGCAGTACACCACAACTGGTATGGACCAAGCCACTATAGACCTATTAAGGGTGTTCTGTCACTACAGGACCTTTTTTTTCTATTTAATTATTCTTATTTATCGGTATGTAGTTCTGTTCTTGTCTATTAATGTTTTGTGTTGACCCCAGGAAGAGTAGCTGCTGCTTTAGCAACATCTAAAGGGGATCCTAATAAAATACCAAGGGCTTTAGAGATGCACATGTAGTCTACAATCATTTGAAATGTCATAGACGTCCTGTGTTTACATTAATGATTGTCTGAAGTTCATCTGGCTTTTCTTTGGGCATGTTTTTTCTGTAAGAAAATGTTTAGTTAATGTAAACATATTGTCTCCCTGAGAACTTTAGTGGACTGGAGTTAAATTCCATTTGTGTCAATGGATTAATTTCCATTCCTTTTCCCCCTTTCCATCAGCCAACACACTGAAATCGATGCTCCAGGAGTTTGATGGTCACCTGATGGCCAAGGAGAACTTCATCCATGAACAGCGGGGCAAACTGGGGGAGAAGGACAAGATCCTGGTCAACCAGAAGAATGAGATGGATCGGCTGGAGAAGAAATCCAAAATGCTGGAATACAAGGTGAGGTCTAAATCCTCCATCTCTCTCCTCCTCCATCTCTCTCTCTCCTCCTCCATCTCTCTCTCTCTCCTCCTCCATCTATCTCTCTCTCCTCCTCCATCTCTCTCTCTCTCCTCCTCCATCTCTCTCTCTCCTCCTCCATCTCTCTCTCTCTCCTCTTCCCTACCTCCCATCTCTCCATCTCCTCTCCTCCGAACCATTTTTTAATACCATGGAAACCCATGTATTCATACATCGAATCAAACTTATCCTAAACTTTTTTTTAGGTTCCCAACACTTGCATATATTTTCTTATGTCTCCCCCCAGATTGACATTCTGCAGAAGACCACCAACATCTACGAGGAGGACAAGCGGTCGCTGCAGCAGGAGCTGGAGAGCCGTGAGCAGAGGCTGCAGCGTGAGCTGTCAGAGAGGAAGCGCATGGAGACACGCATGCAGGGCATGGTGACTGACACCAAGCACCAGTGGGAGAAGGAGTGTGTAAGTGGAGTGTACACTCCTTCCCTTCAGCCCTCTTTCACTCTCTTTCAATAGATCTGGGCACTAAGCTGCTAACTAACCCCAGACTGTGTGGGGGCACTAAGCTGTTAACTAACCCCAGACTGTGTGGGGGCACTAAGCTGCTAACTAACCCCAGACTGTGTGGGGGCACTAAGCTGTTAACTAACCCCAGACTGTGTGGGGGCACTAAGCTGTTAACTAACCCCAGACTGTGTGGGGGCACTAAGCTGTTAACTAACCCCAGACTGTGTGGGGGCACTAAGCTGCTTACTAACCCCAGACTGTGTGGGGGCACTAAGCTGCTAACTAACCCCAGACTGTGTGGGGGCACTAAGCTGTTAACTAACCCCAGACTGTGTGGGGGCACTAAGCTGCTAACTAACCCCAGGTTGTAGATCATTAACATAGATGTCGCTAGGTGTGGTGGTTATTGTAGTTAAGTGCTACTTATGTTTTGGTGAAGTTGTGTAGTTTGTTAACATTGGTCTATGTTCAAATCAATCTTTCTCTTGCTACCTCAGGACCGTCGCGTGAACGCCAAGCAGCTGGAGATGCAGAACAAGCTGTGGGTGAAGGATGAGAAGCTGAAGCAGCTGAAGGCCATCGTATCAGAGAGCAACAGCAGCGCAACCTCAGAGCAGCAGCGTCCCCCACCACCCCCAGACAAGCCCCAGAGAACCTTCCGGGAGAAAGACCAGCTTCGCGCCCCTGAGAAGAAGAGATCTCCCTCGCCGCTGCCCGTGAGTTGTTACGCCCTGTCACTGCCTCTTTCTCCCTCTCGGCTCTCTCTCTCCCTCGCTCTCTCTCTCTCTCTTTCTCTATCCCTCTATCTCTCCGTCTATAAGTGATTGTGATTGTAATTGATATTATTGTAATAGATATTGACTGACTGGAAATATTTTGATTGACCATTGTCTTGCATGGTGGGTTAAAGGTGTTAGTCTCTACTGTCTACCAAGCAGATGCTGCGTCATCAGACCACATGTACTATTACTCAGCTGTCTCCGTTACTGGCCACCTGCATGTGTTTGTCCGCCACTGCTTCATTCTACTGTCATTTGTGTGAACCCGGGGCCTGTTTTAGAAGGGTGTAACATTAGTGTTCAGATAGAAACATGTATGCTGTAGAACATATATGATTGTCTGTCATGCAGAATGGGGAATCGTGTTGGCTCCATTTTTGTTAACATTTTATCTACAACGTTGTGAATACACTGTTGGAGATACCATGCTACAGCCTTCATATCATACTCCCCCAGGACTCCCAGACTCCCTCCACCTCCTGCTACCACCACCAGGTCAGGACAGCTCAGGGCCTCCCCCTCCCACCCTCCTCCTCCTCCGCTGGTAGTCTCTCAGTAGCCTCCGTCATCTCTGAGTGGGAGCAGAGGTTCCCCATAGGTAGAGACCCCCCCGGGACCCCCGGAGCGTACGGAAGCGCGACCCCATACGGAAGCAACAGTGTGGGCCGCAGGAGAGGCCAGCGATGGGCCCCTGAGACAGAGGCCCCGGGCCCCAGCCACACATACGGGCTAGACCTAGAATCAAGCTCAAGGGTTAGTGTGTGTTAGAATTTCACTCTAAGGGACTGGTTTCCCAGACAAAGATTAAGCATAGTCCTGGATTTAAAAAACATGCTTTTGGCTTAATCTGTGTCCAGGAAATCAGGAGGTAAAGTGTAAGTAGATAGATCTTCCATGCTTGTAGACCCGTATAGAACAGCACCCTAGACCCGTATAGAACAGCACGCTAGACCCGTATAGAACAGCACGCTAGACCCGTATAGAACAGCACCCTAGACCCGTATAGAACTGCACGCTAGACCCGTATAGAACTGCACCTGTTGCTGCTTGCTTTGTATACTTACCTACTGTACATGTGGTAGATATTAGGGCCAGGCTGATACCAGTATCGATACTCGTTAGTATCGTGGCGAGGGGGGGAAAAAACACAAAGCAGATTTGAACTCCTTTAGGAAAACAGCCCTAATGTTGGAAACAAACATCATTATGTTGTCATCCAGAGTCACATGTATTTATTTTCCAAGCTATAGCACACAATATTTTACTTACAGCAGGTTTTTAAAGGACCAAAGAGGTCGGTCTGCTTCGTGTTTTCATTTTTGCCATGGAAACAAAATTGCGATACTGGTATCATCACAGTCCTAGTAGAGCTGTTCAGTAATTAGATCTGCTCTGCTTGTACTCCTGTGGGCTTTCATCTCTGTGTGGGTGTGTTCGTATGGGTGGTAGATGTACCGTAGCTAGTTCTGCCATGCATGTACACCCTTATAGAATCATCCTGCATCATAACAGAAGTGCGTCAATAGCTGTTTGGTTGTACTACCGTTGGTCTGTAATGGCCACCACAGGACTGATAACCAGGCTGTACTACCGTTGGTCTGTAATGGCCACCACAGGACTGATAACCAGGCTGTACTACCATTGGTCTGTAATGGCCACCACAGGACTGATAACCAGGCTGTACTACCGTTGGTCTGTAATGGCCACCACAGGACTGATAACCAGGCTGTACTACCGTTGGTCTGTAATGGCCACCACAGGACTGATAACCAGGCTGTACTACCATTGGTCTGTAATGGCCACCACAGGACTGATAACCAGGCTGTACTACCATTGGTCTGTAATGGCCACCGCAGGACTGATAACCAGGCTGTACTACCATTGGTCTGTAATGGCCACAACAGGACTGATAACCAGGCTGTACTACCATTGGTCTGTAATGGCCACCACAGGACTGATAACCAGGCTGTACTACCATTGGTCTGTAATGGCCACCACAGGACTGATAACCAGGCTGTACTACCATTGGTCTGTAATGGCCACCACAGGACTGATAACCAGGCTGTACTACCATTGGTCTGTAATGGCCACCACAGGACTGATAACCAGGCTGTACTACCATTGGTCTGTAATGGCCACCACAGGACTGATAACCAGGCTGTACTACCGTTGGTCTGTAATGGCCACCACAGGACTGATAACCAGGCTGTACTACCATTGGTCTGTAATGGCCACCACAGGACTGATAACCAGGCTGTACTACCGTTGGTCTGTAATGGCCACTACAGGACTGATAACCAGGCTGTACTACCATTGGTCTGTAATGGCCACCACAGGACTGATAACCAGGCTGTACTACCATTGGTCTGTAATGGCCACCACAGGACTGATAACCAGGCTGTACTCTATCATCAACATTATCCCCTAGTGTAGGCTGTATTACATACAGTAGGGGAAATAAGTAGCGTATTAAACATTTCAGCACGTGCACATACAATATTCGCAAATCTCCTCAGACTATTTGTGGACCCCAGGAAGAGTAGCTGCTGCTTCAGCAACAGCTAATGGGATCCTAATAAAATACTAAATACAATAATACTCTTATAAAACAATCCATTGATCAATTCATGATGCTATAGATTGCTACTGTAAAACTCAGAGATATATAACCTGGTTTCAATCATAATGTTGGCAGCTAATACCTGTCATTGGTCTTCCATTAGCCTATCTTACAGGAAGGGTTTTAAGAAAATTATCTTTGATCAAATCAATTTTACAGTGGCAAGAAAAAGTATGTTAACCCTTTGGATTTACCTGAATTTCTGCATAAATTGGTCATAAAATGTGATCTGATCTTCATCTAAGTCACAACAACAGACAAACACAGTCTGCTTAAACTAATAACACACAAACAATTATACGTTTTCATGTCTTTATTGAACACAACGTGTAAACATTCACAGTGCAGGGTGGGAAAAGTGAACCCTTGGATTTAATAACTGGTTGACCCTCCTTTGGCAGCAATAACCTCAACCAAACGTTTTGTGTAGTTGCAGATCAGACCTGCACAACGGTCAGGAGGAATTTTGGACCATTCCTCTTAACGAAAACTGTTTCAGTTCAGCAATATTATTGGGATGCTGGTGGGAACTGCTCTCTTGAGGTCATGCCACAGCATTTCAATCGGGTTGAGGTCAGAACTCGAGAAGGAGTATTTTCTTCTGTTGAAGCCATTCTGTTGATTTACTTATGTGTTTTGGGTCGTTGTCCTGTTGCATCACCCAACTTCTGTTGAGCTTCATTTGGCGGACAGATATGCTTACATTCTCCTGCAAAATGTCTTGATAAACTTGAATTCATTTTTCCGTCTGATGGCTGTCCAGGCCCTGAGGCAGCAACGCAGCCCCAAACCGTGATGCTCCCTCCACCATACTTTACAGTTGGGATGAGGTTTTGATGTTGGTGTGCTGTGCCTTTTTTTCTCCACACAGTGTTGTGTGTTCCTTCCTTCAAAACAACTCAACTTTAGTTTCATCTGTCCACAAAATATTTTGCCAGTAGCGCTGTGGAACATCCATGTGGTCTTTTGCAAACTTCAGACGTGCAGCAATGTTTTTTTATTTTATTTATTTTTTTATTTTATTTTTTTGGACAGCAGTGGCTTCTTCCATGGTGTCTTCCCATGAACACCGTTCTTGTTTAGTTGTCACGAGAATTTCTATCTCTAATTAATCAAACTTAATGCTTTGAATAATTCCCAGAGGGTGTAAGACTGGTTTAATCATGAATTAAACGAAGGTCCACAACCAGCAAGAATGATCTGTATGTTTTAATCATGGAGAGCTCTGCCGCCAAAAAATACATATACAGCTTTTATACCCCTTGACACACAAAGGCACTTTGCTCCGCCCACCTTTTTAGGAGGCTTTTTTAAACAGTTTCTCAGTCCCCTTCACCCTGGAATGCTTTCTCAGCAGTTTCTAACTCCTCCCCCTCTGTTAGTGGGTTGACACTACATTATAACTCTAACACCGTTCACACATTTATACTGTATTTGGGGTGAAATCCTTTTAGTCATTATTCTTCAAATACAAATTAATCTATCATTAGTGTTTTCCGTATCGTAGCCTCGTCAACAGAGATGTTAGCATGGTCTAGTTTTCTGTAAGTGTTTAGCTGACCCTCTAGGATTCTTCTTAACCTCACTGGGCATTCTGCACTGCGCTCTTGCAGTCATCTTTGCAGGACGGCCGCTCCTAGGGAGAGTAGCAACATTGCTGAACGTTCTCCATTTTTATAGACAATTTGTCTTACCGTTGACTGATGAACATCAAGGCTTTTTAGAGATACTTTTGTAACCCTTTCCAGCTTTATGCAAGTCAACGATTCTTAATCTAATGTCTTCTGAGATCTCTTTTTGATCGATGCATGGTTCACATCAGGCAATGCTTCTTGTAAATAGCAAAGGCACATTTTGTGAGTTTTGTTTTTTTAATAGGGCAGGGCAGCTCTAACCAACATCTCCAATCTCGTCTCATTGGCTGGACTCCAGGTCAGCTGACTCCTGACTCCAATTAGCTTTTGGAGAAGTCATTAGCCTAGGGGTTCACATACTTTTTCTGATATAGACAAGAAAAATACAATTATTTGTTTAAGCACACTGTCTATTGTTGTGACCTTAGATGAAGATCACATTTTATGACCAATTTATGTAGAAATCCAGGTAATTCCAAAGGGTTCACATACTTTTCCTTGCCACTGTATATGAACCTCCAGAGGATAGATGTTTGTCTAATTATACCTGTTAACCAATCTATACTGTATATAACCCATGGTCTTCTGTTCTGTCAGCCTACTCAATCTACCATAATACCTGTGTTCTGCCAGCCTACTCAATCTACCATAATACCTGTGTTCTGCCAGCCTACTCAATCCACCATAATACCTGTGTTCTGCAAGCCTACTCAATCTACCATAATACCTGTGTTCTGCAAGCCTACTCAATCTACCATAATACCTGTGTTCTGCCAGCCAACTCCAATCCACACTAACACCTGCCGCCGGTCCACCGTAGACGCTACTACTAACCCAATGACCCTCAACACCACTACTGTCAATCATTCCTTGATTTGTCTTTTTCCTCACTGTTTTTAAATGGGACCCACCAGACCACAGGAACACCGATTCACCCACGCCACAGACGCTCACACTCAGCGGGTGGGGAGCGATGGGTAGATCACAAACCACCCTCTAATTTGGACTTAAACACGGTCATGCAGCCAATCATACCCAATGCGATCAAGGTGTCAGCGGCCAGCGAGAAAGCTCTGTCTAAATGCCACAAGTATGTTCTCACGCATCAGGAGCTTGCCTCCGATGGGGACATTCAGACCAAACTGATCAAGGTAAAAAAAAAAAAAATGAAATCAAAGTTTCCTCAATTGGTGTCTTTTGATTGTCTTTGTTTGTCTATTTCATATTTTTGTTACTTTTTCACCTTTTTTCACCTTCTGGGTTTGTGAATCTTTCCGACTACTATAGAAGGGTAATGCTACCTGAGCAATGATAGTAGTTGCATCTGAAGGAACAATGTTTGAAACAGAGATTTGTACTGCTACAACCATATACCTGATTTTACTGTGGAGGGTAAAGCATTTGTATCCCTCACTGTGAGTCTTTCTGCGTGAGACCTCGCTTCATCTGATCGTTGTCTACCTCTTCAGGGAGACGTGTTCAAAACGAGAGGTGGAGGACAAGCCGTGCAGTTCACAGACATTGAAACGCTTAGACAGGAATGCCCAACTGCTTCAAGGTAGGCCCATTGCACAACCCATCAGTTATTATGCAGACACTTTGACAGACAGTGTTTTATGTGCGTGTAGTGTTGCAACTGTCCCAACAGTTCTAGGTTTCCAGAAATCCTGGTTTTCCAGATTTTGTGCTGGAATATTTCATCTGGGATTTCTGGAAAACTTTTGCAACCCTGTGTGTGCCTATCAGAAATAATCTTCTGTTGAGATGAGGACATTTACCTCACTGTCACATCTTCTTGAAATAATAGTTGGCTGTGTTTAGCGTAAGTCGTTCAGAGAGACCTGATGTGAATATTTTCTGTTCCATGAAGTCGTAAGAGGAGGTCATCGGGAGACGGGTCAGGACAACATGATGGGAACAAGATGAACTTCAACGACCGAGAGAACAGGGTAATCTGACCTCACTACTGTCTGTCACTCATTCACCTGGGCTGTAGTTAAACGCCTATTAGATTTTGTAATGATATCCGCTCATAAAGGTATAAATCAGCTAGACGGTTGGTGTGACCCAGGGTATAAAATATGTTTTCTCCCGACAGGCACCAGTGGCAAGCACAAGTTCGGGTCTTGGTCTCCAGAATGGCTATCAAAAGTGAGAATTTATATCACATTCCAGTAGGGATTTTGACTGACGACAACATTGCGTTGCATGTTTTCATAGTATTGACTAATCTACTGCAGTTGACAAATGACTTTTCTCTGTCCCTTCTTTCAGACGCAGAAAGTAGGGCCTGGACTGATGAGAAGCGTCATCTTTTTCTAAATGCTGGATTTTTTTCTATCTAATCATGACTATAGCTTAAAAGGGACATTTGAATTAGATTTAGAGATAACGTGTCACATTGTATAGCTTACCACCTTTACATATGAAACTTTCCTTCACTGCTTTTTCAAGCCCAAAGATTATTTAGATGACAAAATGTAACTTTTTTTTCACACTCTCTCAATTTCAAGGCACTTGTTTTTTTTTTTTTTTTAAAACAAGGTTTGATAATTTGTATAGACCTATATTCAGACACATGATCTGCAGAAAATCAATGGTAGAAAGCTGCTAGTGCAAAAAACCCCAATTATATACTTTATATAGCCTGCCGGCCAGTTTCTGTCTGACTGCAAATAAATGTCTTTTTGAAGGAATGTATTATTTAAAAACTGAAAAAAATAAATCAAGAAATGAGAATCTTATCTTTAACCACAATTTGTATTACTGTATAACCATGTAAAGGAAGGTCTTGTCTCTGTCAAATGCTTTGGAGGAAGATATAGTGCTGCAGGCCCCAAATATAATCAATTGAAACCAGTTGGCATCTAAAAAGATTTGGTGGGGCGACACGAGTACCAATCTATCAAATGCATTTCATTAAGCTCTTTTTAAATCAGCAGTGAAGTTAGGGGAAACCGTCGTACGCTCACTCTACCTGACGTCCTAACCCATCCCTCCCCATCTTAGCAGCACCACCGCCAGACTCCTGTCTGAATAACTGGTGTCCTTTTGAGTTCAAACACATTTCCCCCCTTATATTTGCCCCAGCCAGGTAGCTACAGGCACCAGGCTTTTTTAAATGGAAGGAAGTGCTTTAAGACTTAGCACAGCACACTGCGTGCTTAGCAAACAAACTCACATTTTATGTGGCTGGCGCTGTTTGCTCCACATTCTTTGGTCTGTTGACAGTTGATGAGAAATGTCAAACAGAAGCGCTCACTAGCAAGTCTGTATAGTTTGTGTGGCCCCTGCCAACGTCTCGTGCACTACAGACGCTCTGCTTGTCTCCTGGTCATGTTACATTCCACCAGCGTGTTGTAAATGGTCCTGGGCATATTTATTATATAGTGTTGCTTTTGGGCTGTCAATGGGTTGAAACATTGTCTTTCTTGTGGGGAGAACAGATGCAATGACGGGTGTTGTGTATAATGGCCATCCAATGTGCAGTATGAATGTTGGAGAGATGAAAGGCAGACAGTTTATTGAATTTTTCGCCTGTTTTCACTTCTCTGTATGCTGAGAGAGTGCTGTCATTTCACTAAGCCTCAGAAGTATTTGTAAAACTGGCCCATCAGATGTTCCATGTAGGCTAGCTGATGAACAGCGCCGGAAGAAGATGGCTGCCGTTTTACAGCCCTCTAACCAATTGTACTATTATGTGTGTTTTTCCGCGTTATTTGTAATTTATTTTGTACATAATGTTTATGCCATCGTCTCTTATAACCAAAGAGAGCTTCTGGATATCAGGACAGCGATTACTCACCTCGCGTTGGACGAACACTTTTTCTTCAACGAGGCGTTCGCGAAGGATATCCTACAGACACCCGACAAGGCCCAGATCCCCGTCATTCGCGTGAGGAAGAGACGGAGATTTCGTGGACGTAGGTCGGGGTGCCTTGTAAGGATCCGACGGCGAACGAGTAAACTGCCTCTCCCATCAATCCTATTAGCCAACGTTCAAGCTTTGGAGAATAAAATGGACGATTTAAGATTACGGTTATCCTACCAACGGGACATTAAAAACTGTAATATCTTATGTTTCACGGAGTCGTGGCTGAATGACAACAATGACAACATTCAGCTAGCAGGCTATACGCTACATCGGCAGGACAGAACGGCAGACTCGGGTAAGACGAGGGGTGGCGGTCTCTGTATTTTTGTAAACAACAGCTGGTGCACAAAATCAAATACTAAGGAAGTCTCAAGGTTTTGCTCGCCTGAGGTAGAGTATCTTATGATAAGCTGTAGACCACACTATTTACCAAGAGAGTTTTCATCTATACTTTTCATAGCTGTCTATTTACCACCACAAACCAATGCTGGCATTAAGATTGCACTGAATGAGTTGTACAAGGCCATTAATCAACAGGAAAACGCTCATCCAGATGCAGCGCTCCTAGTAGCAGGGGACTTTAATGCAGGGAAACTTAAATCCGTTCTACCTCATTTCTACCAGCATGTTAAATGTGCAACCAGAGGGGAAAAAACTCTAGACCACCTTTACTCCACACACAGAGACGCATACAAAGCTCTCCCTCGCCCTCCATTTGGCAAATCTGACCATAACTCTATCCTCCTGATTCCTGCTTATAAGCAAAAACTGAAGCAGGAAGCACCAGTGATTCGGCTAATAAAAAAGTGGTCAGATGACGCAGATGCTAAGCTACAGGACTGTTTTGCTAGCACAGACTGGAACATGTTCCGGGATTCTTCAGACAGCATTGAGGAGTACACCACATCAGTCACTGGCTTCATCAATAAGTGCATCGATGATGTCGTCCCCACAGTGACCGTACGTACATACCCCAACCAGAAGCCATGGATTACAGGAAACATCCGCACTGAGCTAAAGGGTAGAGCTGCCGCTTTCAAGGAACGGGACTCTAACCCGGACGCTTATAAGAAATCCCGCTATGACCTCCGACGAACCATCAAACAGGCAAAGAGTCAATACAGGTCTAAGATTGAATCATACTACACTGGCTCTGACGCTCGTCGGATGTGGCAGGGCTTGAAAACTATTACAGACTACAAAGGGAAGCACAGCCGCGAGCTGCCCAGTGACACAAGCCTACCAGACGAGCTAAACCACTTCTATGCTCGCTTCGAGGCAAGCAACACTGAAGCATGCATGAGAGCACCAGCTGTTCCGGACGACTATGTGATCACGCTCTCCGTAGCCGATGTGAGTAAGACTTTTAAGCAGGTCAACATTCACAAGGCCGCAGGGCCAGACGGATTACCAGGACGTGTACTCCGAGCATGTGCTGACCAACTGGCAAGTGTCTTCACTGACATTTTCAACATGTCCCTGACTGAGTCTGTAATACCAACATGTTTCAAGCAGACCACCATAGTCCCCGTGCCCAAGAACGCTAAGATAACCTGCCTAAATGACTACCGACCCGTGGCACTGACGTCTGTAGCCATGAAGTGCTTTGAAAGACTGGTCATGGCTCACATCAACAGCATAATCCCAGAAACCCTAGACCCACTCCAATTTGCATACCGCCCCAACAGATCCACAGATGATGCAATCTCTATCGCACTCCACACTGCCCTTTCCCACCTGGACAAGAGGAACACCTACGTGAGAATGCTATTCATTGACTACAGCTCAGCATTCAACACCATAGTGCCCTCAAAGCTCATCACTAAGCTAAGGATCCTGGGAATAAACACCTCCCTCTGCAACTGGATCCTGGACTTCCTGACGGGCCGCCCCCAGGTGGTAAGGGTAGGTAACAACACATCTGCCACACTGATCCTCAACACGGGGGCCCCTCAGGGGTGCGTGCTCAGTCCCCTCCTGTACTCTCTGTTCACCCATGACTGCATGGCCAGGCACGACTCCAACACCATCATTAAGTTTGCCGACGACACAACAGTGGTAGGCCTGATCACCGACAACGATGAGACAGCCTATAGGGAGGAGGTCAGAGATCTGGCCGTGTGGTGCCAGGACAACAACCTCTCCCTCAACGTGACCAAGACAAAGGAGATGATTGTGGACTACAGGAAAAAAAAGAGGACTGAGCACGCCCCCATTCTCATCGACGGGGCTGTAGTGGAACAGGTTGAGAGCTTCAAGTTCCTTGGTGTCCACATCACCAACGAACTATCATGGTCCAAACACACCAAGACAGTCGTGAAGAGGGCACGACAAAGCCTATTCCCCCTCAGGAGACTAAAAAGATTTGGCATGGGTCCTCAGATCCTCAAAAAATTCTACAGCTGCACCATCGAGAGCATCCTGACTGGTTGCATCACCGCCTGGTATGGCAACTGCTTGGCCTCTGACCGCAAGGCACTACAGAGGGTAGTGCGTACGGCCCAGTACATCACTGGGGCAAAGCTCCCTGCCATCCAGGACCTCTATACCAGGCGGTGTCAGAGGAAGGCCCTCAAAATTGTCAAAGACTCCAGTCACCCTAGTCATAGACTGTTCTCTCTGCTACCGCACGGCAAGCGGTACCGGAGTGCCAAGTCTAGGTCCAAAAGACTTCTCAACAGCTTCTACCCCCAAGCCATAAGACTCCTGAACAGCTAATCATGGCTACCCGGACTATTTGCACTGCCCCCCCACCCCATCCTTTTTACGCTGCTGCTACTCTGTTAAGTATTTATGCATAGTCACTTTAACTCTACCCACATGTACATATTACCTCAACTACCTCAACTAGCCGGTGCCCCCGCACATTGACTATGCAACGGTACCCCCCTGTATATATAGCCTCCCTACTGTCACTTTATTCTATTGTATATATAGCCTCCCTACTGTCACTTTATTTTTTACTTCTGCTCTTTTTTTCTCAACACTTTTTTGTTGTTGTTTTATTCTTACTTTTTTGTTTAAAATAAATGCACTGTTGGTTAAGGGCTGTAAGTAAGCATTTCACTGTAATGTCTGCACCTGTTGTATTCGGCGCATGTGACCAATAAAATTTGATTTGATTTGATTTGATATATGTTTAATGTTGGATATGTGTATAATTGGGGCCTATATACATGGTACAATTCCATCATACAATTACAACATGTTTAATGTTCATCAGTATTTGAAGATGCATGTATAAAATGTATCTTTCATCTATAATGTTGCATGACTTACTTTAGCTGTAGAATGTAATGACTCAAACGCGTTACTGTTTTGCAGCACACTGAGGAGAGCTTTACAGGGAATTCCTGTAATAATCATTACTAACAGTAGGTGGCAGCAGATACTGTACTTTTACAACAGGGGCCTTTTTTATATCTGCACTTATTTAGTGACTGGCCATATGGCACTGCAGGTTATTCTGACATGGAGAATAGTCTGATGGTAACCATGGTCAGGCGCTGGACAGTTGTGGTTCTGGACGGTGTAGATTGGTTGGTGTTGATGCGAAGGGTTGGTCCAGTAGTTCCTCGCAGACTGCATACTTACTAGACCTTCCGAGTGGCGCAGTGGTCTAAGGCACTGCATCGCAGTGCTAGCTGTGCCACTAGAGATCCTGGTTCGAATCAAGGCTCTGTCGTAGCCGGCCGCGACCGGGAGACCCATGGGCGGGGCGCACTATTGGCACAAGCGTCGTCCAGGGTAGGGGAGGGAATGGCCGGCAGGGATGTAGCTCAGTTGGTAGAGCATGGCGTTTGCAACGCCAGGGTTGTGGGTTCGATTTCCCACGGGGGGCCAGTATGAAAAATAAATAATGT